GCTGACTTCAATTGCTACCGAATGCTTACCGCTGTCTGGCAGCGCTACCTTACTGGCAGCGCCACACCCTCGTGTTTTACGTACGCACAACAGTTTTAACACGCAGTTAATGATTATCAAGAGCGATATAAAGAAGGTTCTTTTATATATATAATTATTACTTGATAATATATATATATATAGAATATATAATATATAATATTATAATATATATTATATATGCTATATATAAGTTCTTTATACGCTCTTGATGTTATGGAGCCAATGGGTTGTTTAGAACCAGTGGGTTCGTTGTCATGGCACCGTGACGTCACACTTCGGTACTGTCGGTTTATGTCCGCCCAGCATACGGTCTGTATGTCTTCATGTCTATCTTACTGTTTGCCTGCATGACTAACAGTCTGCCTTCCCACATGCCTGCTTGCCCGCCTCGCTGTAGGGACTGTAGGTTTGCCCGCCTGGCTGCCGCCCCGCCCGTACGTCTGCCTGCCTGTCGTTTTGGCTGCCATCTCATCAGTCTGTATATTTGGTGTATTATTCCGTATTATTAACGGATGTGACGTATAACTATTACTATGTATCAATAAAGTTTCGTCGTAAACATATCATAAAATAGAATAATGCTGTGTCCATCATTTGTACATACTAAATTATTAGTTTACCGAAAATGAATTGGGTTATTTGAGAATCGCTCATTCCTAACAGATAAGATTATTATATTCATATGTAATATCTTATACACGTTACTATAAATGAAAAAATTTGTTTTAATGATTTTCTAAACGATTATAAATTCTCTATATCTCATTCAAGACTGTATGTTATAAAATTTAACTGTCGGGTACTGAATTATCACCGAACCCGAAATACCTTTAGGGCTTATTATTTCTAATTATTTATTCTAATTTCTGGATAATTACCCTACAAATCTTAATTAATTTCCAACATTGTTCTGCGTTTCGCTGTATCTAGTTATACATCGTGTACATATTTAACAAGCATGTAAATGGAGACAACGCCCAAAGTTATGACGCTCCTCGTTTGGATTCAAATTAAAAATACGTATGGCACAAGATCTAGAGTACAAGTAATATATGTGTTATAAATTGTATGTTAAAATTGTAATTGTTATAAATCTATATGTGTAATAGACTTATATCTTACTGCAAATACTTTGATACAGCGTACACTATGTATAGCATGGTTATTATAGGGCTTATTTGTGCTATATAAATCGCAAACAAATCACAAGATATTTATAAATAATCGCACACAACTCTTTTTGATAATAATATGCTGATCTGTAACTGATATATTATTTCACCGATATGTTTTTTATGAAAGTTTTGAAGCAGAAGTCATGACGGCTACCCTCAGCTGGGGTTGAAATAATCAATACGCGCTGCTGAACTAAGCGTCACTTGGGATTTATTGCATTTCAGTGCATTTTTGATCGGTATCGAGAAAACTCGCATCAACATTTCGATTATTTCTCTTGGCTATGTGATGTAGTAATGTAATGTAAATATGTGATTTCGTGAATTCGCACTTGGATTTTAGAAATTTACCACAAATACATAATTCTATGTAATTTCACATGCGATAGGTTTCTTTAACGTCTTTCGAGACATTTTCCTTCAATTTACGGCGAATCAACAGTGAATATTACATTGCCTCATACATGCGTAGAAGAAAATTAAACATAAGCATTTTGTCTGCGAGATTACTAAATCTGATGAACTTCTGGTCTGTTAGTCTGAAGTCAAATGCTATTATAAATTAATTGCATTAGTTAAAATTCAAGCGAAGTGATACATGGGAATAGGTTTTTTATTATCAAAAAACACGTAAACTAATTTTGTCGAACCTGGTCATGTCTACGTCGTTTCTCTACTATACATGCATCTGTGACATTTCCGTGCGTTGTTTTTCACCACTTCCCTTGTCTCGAACAAGTAAGGTAAATAGTTGATACAATGTGTACGGTAATTTGTTGAATATATCAATATTATATATTGTTGAAACTTTAAAATTTATTCAGTTTACGTATTGATACAGACCTAGCACTAGCATTAAAATCAGTGGGACAGTTGCTGCACGATGTAATTATTGAAACGTTTCCGGAATAGCATGCGTGCTCGCAGGTTTATTGCTATAGGAGTTGCTATAGTAGCCAATTTTATCCCGAGAGACATGATACAAAATTGCGTGGCACAGCTTTGCTGTTGATCCTGAGCGCTGCGCGCGGGTGACACGCGCAGTTCCGCGGCATAGGCGCACGCGACCGCGGGGATGTTAGCGTAAGATTAAGTATGAAGCGCTGTCCGCAATAGAGACGTGCGCCAAATTCGAGACCCGGCGCACGTCTCCTCATCGGTCAGCGGATGGTCTGTTGTTTTAGAAGATTACAATGAAGACTTTGTTCTAAATAAGAACTATCGGCGGATAAATAAGAGCAATACACAGACCTTTGAATTTCTTGACTAGTCAGTCAAAGGGCTTGTTGGGGGGTCCATTATGCAGAGCTTCCAATTGAAATGGTCCATAAAATTGTCAAGTGGAATTGTGTTTTTCGGAACCCCAAAGAAAATGTCTCCTTCTTACATGCACCCCCTCCGAGATCAATCACGCATTCAGGCGTAAACAATAACAGAGATGAAATTGTGTTGAGTTTGTGGCTCTTGACGCACGTGCATTGACGTACAAGACTGTTGAAAGCACAGGCACTTGGAACGTCTCAATAAAAATAAATACTCACAGCCTCCTCCGATATCCATTTCAAGGCCCGCTAAGCCAAGCATAAAGTGCGCGGGCAAGACGTCACACACAGCTACGTTCATTGGCTAAAACAATCGAGTAGCGCGGTTAGGGATTTTCGGAATTATATAATTTGAAGAAAAACTTCCGACAGCGAGTGAAAATGCCGAATTTTTTTTACTTTGACGCGAAATGCATCGGCCGGGCATTTCATTATTTACGAAAAGTAAACAGGCTGGCGAAAGACAGTTGGTACAGTAAGTGATGCGTCACGTCGGTGACGCCCCATTCATGTCCATCAACGAAGAAAGCGGGGCTTATTCTGAAGGACGTAGCGCAGTGCGCTAAACAGCGTATTATTTTCGTATTTGTGGCAAACTCTATCGTAGGAAACCGTTCTAACATAACAGAATGCCCTAGTTCTTGAGATCGGCAATTTGGTGGTCCAATGGGTCCCCACCTATAAAAATACTAAAGAGAGGTGCGGCGTAGGCTGTGATTAGAAGACACAAAGTGTCAATCATCGGCGCGCCTCGGCATCATGGCCGCATCACGTCAAGACCCTGTATGTTTCGTGCACAAGGTGTTTCAAACTCACCCGTAATGCTACGATAATACGTTTGATTGTCTACCTTTCTTTACCTGGGATGATCAGAACGTCTGGTTGCCGCCGTAACACCCAAGTAAATTATATCGTGACCGAATTCACAATGGCCTACGTTATAGCGTTGTAATATTACAGGTTACCTTAAATACCATCTGAAAAAGATTGACCTCTGATATATCACTTTATACAACATTTACATTAAAGGCAAACACGAAGAATAGTGTATGCTCGTTTACCAGCCCAGTGTACATGTTGATAGTTGTGCAAAGCACACATGCAGTAAAACAGAGCTAGGTTCGAGTAACGCGACCAAACAGCATTGACGACAAAGCAGGCTTGCCAGAACTAACATGGGCGGAACTACAAAGAGAAACGTGATCCTAAGCAAAACATTAATCATGCTGTTCAAACAACTTGCACTGTCAAATCCCCTTCTAAACCGTGAACTATTTAGCCGTCATTCGTGAGATGATGCATTTTTCACTTAAACCCGGATACTCGCATGGTTAACAACTATAGAAAATAAAAACGATTTCCACACAATTTCGTCGAAAATCATGTACTGAGAGAAGATTTAGGCCGAGCAGCGGTTACCAGAGCGCAAGCGTACGGATGAATCTCTATAATAAACGAAAGTTCAACGAAAGCCTAAAATTGGCCAACGTTCACGCATGTGAAAGTGTATCGCTTACCTAGTCCCACTAGCTGAACGGTTCCAAGACATCGCGGTAAATCGCTGATGTGTAGACTATGTTCGTCCAGTGACTTCGTTCGAGTGCACGCTTTCCATAGCCGTTTGATCGCTGCCATGCTTGTATCTGTGTATCTAAACATGATTTCACACGTTAACGTGCGTCAAATCTGCACTGAGTCTTTTACGCTTTGCGACCTGTGCAACAGAGATGAGCGGTCATCCGGAATGAAGACAGATTGGAGCAACGTTGAAAACATGTGGTTGATGGATGGATGGATGGATGGATGGATGGATGGATGGATGAATGGATGGATGGATGGATGGATGGATGGATGTGATGAGTGACTGATGGATGATGCGATACGATGGATGATGGAGGATGGAGGATGGATGGATGAATGGACTAGATGGATGAATGGATGGCTGATGGATGGATGGATGGATGATGGAGGATGCGATAATGGAATGGAGTGGATGGATTGATGGATGGATAATGATGGATGGATGATGGATGATGGATGGAATCCGATATGGATAATGGTATTGAAGGAATGGATAGATGGATTGGATCGATGATTTGGATGGATGATAGATGGATGGAATGGATGGATGGATGATGAGTGGATGGATGAAATGATGAGAAGAATGGATGGATGGATGGATTGATGGATGATGGATGAGATGGATGGATGATGGATGGATGGATGGATGAATGATGGGATTGGATGATGATGGACTAGATAGATATGAGGATTGAGTGGATGGATGGAATAGATGGATGGATGGACGAATGGATGGATAGATGGATGGATTGGAGGATGGATGGATGGATGGATGGTGGATGGATGGATGGATGGATGGACGGACCGGACGACGACGGACAACGGACGGAGACGGACGGACGGACGGACGGACAGACGGACGGATGATGGATGGAGTAGGATGGAGGATGGATGATGAGATAAAGGAGTGATGACTGGATGATGATGGATGGATGATAGATGGTATAGCTGATGATGGTAACATTATTCTTCGTAAGCAGGAGCTTTAACACAATATCCACGACTAATTTAAGTATAACCTACGTATCTTGTGCCGATCTCTGTACTTGATACACAACGATTTTCAACATGCACATCCCATGTTACCGATTATAACCACGTATAGAAATTTTTGCTCCAGCCGTTGATATTTTCGTCACGCTTGATTAGTATGACTCTCTTGCTTCATTCATTTAATAGCTTATTTAAAAATGGTTAGCATTCCACCGAGATCACACGCATGACCTCTTCTTATCTTATTTTACCTAGCTGAACTCTAGCCGTTACACCGAGCTTCGTCATGACTCATCCATCCACTGCATACCAGAAATACAGACTACATATTGACAACGTTTTTCAAACATTGTTAGACGTCGCTCGATAAGCGAGTACGAATGGAGGAATACCCCGTGGCGTCTTTAATTCGAATAGCACGACGCTTTAAATTAAACATACACCTTATCTTTCGCGTCCCTGTCTTACTGCGGATATCGTCGCCACACATAAGACGCATAAAGTCGCGACGCGCACCGTAAACCCTTAATTGCCTATCTATCGTTGTCGTTGTTCCCTATAATGAGCGACCGAGCGACGCGCATTTTTACGACGTGAAAGGAAAACGCACTCATTTTCATGAATCTTACGTTAGATCTCGCATAGCGCAATACAAATTATCTCACAATAGTGCGCTTAATGTAGCAACGTACGTGTTTATTAAAACGTGGCCGCGACTACTACGAGTTACTAGAACCCTACCAAGCAATTTGCTATCAGCGCTGATAACGTAGTCTTTTTCGCGATAGATCACCAACCCCGTCGTACACGACATCGCCTGCATTTTAACGTCACGTCTGGAAACAGGTCTATCTCAACGGCTCACACATTAAATCTCTACATCCCGTCTTTATTGATTAGGCGGTGGCGAAAAAAAATCCTTCCGAGTGATTTTTTAAGAGCTCATCAAAACAATCTAATCGCACTCATTGTTTGAAAAACTGCGGAATGAAGCACTTTCCTATATTTCTGCGCAAATAAATAAAGCGACCCTCCTGTCCGCTCGAGCGATCCTGCCCCGCACCTCGTTAGCTTACTCAAAGACTTATTAACGTCATCACGCGCCGTAGATAACTTCAGGCTTCGCGAACTAACTATGCAAGAAGAAAGAGAGAGCGAGAGTTATGAGAGGGAGAGAGAGAGAGAAAGAGAGTAGAGAGAGATGAGAGACTGAGAGAGAGTAGGAGAGTAGCAGAGGCACAGAAAGAAGTAGTAGCTTGCGTACGACGCGTACCTATCCTGACCTACGTATACCCAGCCGTTCTGTGTCTTACTATTGCTTCGAGCGACGAAGAATCAAATACGCATATTACGTCTCCTATAGATTCTCTCTATGTAATACAAATATAGCTGTTGTTGTCTTGTGCGCACCTAAGTATTAGACATTCTCCTTTTTTAACTTATGGCGACTACGAGTAGACCAATAGAGAGAGAAGAGAGAGAGTTGGGTAGGACAATGAAGAAGAGAGAGAGAAAACAGAGAGAGAGAGAGTAGAGAGAGAGAGAGAGAGAGAGAAAGAGAGCTTCGGACGAAGCGTACCTGCATGATCTATACGTATACCACCGTACCTCGTAATCGCTGCAAGTGCCCCGCCGAACGCTTTCGTCGTCACGTCACCAGCTGTCGCACTGCAGGTACGTGTGGCGGGAGCGTGAGAAGGATCCGGAGATAGCGATCCCGGAGGTGATGCGGATCCCGATGCAGATCCCTAGATGCGGATCCGGGAGGCGGAGAGGCGCGAGTCACGCGCTGTGTGTCGCCGCACTCATGTCGGCGTGTCCGCATATGAAGCACGCTGGAGCGCCCGCAGTTAACCTCCGCCTGTAGTCGCGCCCGCGCTGAGACGCACGCGTCGCACCACGCGCGCGTGTCCTCTTATCGTCGAGTCGACGTCACGTGATCGGCGATGTTGACGTAGGCGCGGTGCCTAGTACGAGCCCCGCGTGTAGCTGCAGGCAGCTTACTTTTACTCGTTTCCTATACTATGCTCTCGCGATAGCTAGCGTGGGTGTGAATCTAAAGCTCTCGTCTCCTGCGTGCGCACCAGCTTGCGGTCTGAGTGACGCGGTACCTAGGCGCGGCGCCTTGCAGCGATAACGCACGCCTTACCAGCGAAGAACCGTCAATGTGTCTCCAGCTTTGCTGATCAGTGATTACCACAGCGTACACAAACACACACGCGCGCATACGCACGCACACACACGCGCGAGCACACACACAAACACACAAACACGCGCGCGCACGCTGACACAAACAAACAAACGCACACTCACGCTGCCTGGCGCGATATACACGATACCTAGCGGCTGCGGTGAGGTCCGCCAGCGTCTAACACCAACACGTGTTCACACCGGGGCGCGGCGGTAGCGTGCTCGCGGGCGTCGCTCCGTATGTGCGGCCACCGGTCGTCTCCGCTAAACCCACCGACGCTGTAGCAGATCGTTACGGCGAATTAGAATCAGCGCTACTGCTGCATGCTGCTGCTGCTGCTGCTGCTGCTGCTGCTGCTGCTGCGGCTGCTGCTGCTGCACGGAATTAGTTCGGCAAGATGTCACATCTCGAGCCGTCATGTGCGGCGTGTGGGAGAGACTGCGAGCGCTCGGAATAACCGATGACGGACGCGAACGGAAGCCGGCAGCTTCTCGCGGCTTAGCGAGGCTTCGCGCATGCGTCGTAGCGGGGGGTGGATGGATGTCTGTGCACGTACGTGAGTGCTACAGACCCAGCAGTTAGAAGGGTGGCTGTAGCAGTGCGCGGGGCTTTGTCACGCATGCACACTCGACAAGTTTCAAGCGTCGGCTCACGACGACGACGACGACAACGACGACCACACCGCCGTCACCACCACCAGAGCCGCCAACACCACCACCACCACCACCACCACCACCAACACCACCAACACCACCAACACCACCACCACCATCACCACCACCACCATCACCACCACCACCACCACCACCACCACCACCACCACCACCATCACCACCACCACCACCACCACCACCACCACCACCACCATCACCACCACCACCACCACCACCACCACCACCACCACCACCACCACCACCACCACCACCACCACCACCACCACCACCACCATCATCACCACCACCACCACCACCACCACCAC